AAATAAAAAATCCCTCAAAAAAAAGGGCTAACCTTCAAGGGAAAAGGCCGAGGCCAAGGGGAGGGGAAAAAATTTTTCACCTTTTTTGAAAAAAAAAAAAACCCCGGAGGGGGAGGGGGGTTTTTTTTGGCCACTGAAAAGGGGCCCCAAAAAAGGGGGGGGGAATTTTGTTTTTTTTGTGGGGCTTAACCCGGGTTTTGGGTAATCCAAAAGGCCCTGGGGCAAATAGATCGGAAAAAAAAACAAAATTTTCTGGGGGGGGGGGGGAATTAAAAAAAAAAAATTTTTAGGGTGCCAAAGGTTTTGGGTAAGTTTTTGGGCCCCCACACCACCACCCCTGGGGCCAGGGGTGTCCCCCAAAAAAAGGGCTTTAAACTTTCCGGAAGGGTGGCTGAGTGGGAGGGGAATTCGCGTTGGGAAAAAAAAAAGGGGCCCTGGGAGGTTTTTAAGGGGGCTTTGTTTTGGGCAAAGTTTGAAAGGGGGGGGGCCCCCAGGAAAAAATCTCACCATTGGGTACCCCCCCCAAAAAAAAACTTGTTGGTTGACAGGGGAAGGGCAAAAAGGGAAAAAACCTTGGGCAAAAAAAAAAAAAAAAAAAAACAGAACAAAAAAAAAAACAAGGACGTTTAACCCTCCCCCTTTCCCCTTTTGGGCCCACCCCCAACCAAACCTTTGGGGGGGAAAAAAAAACTCTCAAAAGGGAAAGGGGGGAAAAGTTTAAAGGGGGGGGGGGGGAAAGAAGGGGGAGGGCAGGCGGGTTGTTTGGAATAAAAAATAGGTTACAAACCCTCCACTGCGTTGGGCAAAAAGGTTGTTTTTCCTTTAAAAAAACTGGGGGGCGGGGGGGGGAAAAAAAAATTCTTAGTTTCTCAATACCCCCCAAAAAGAAAAAAAATTGGAGGACCCAACCACAAAAAGGGGGTTTTTTCCGGGGGGTGGGGTTTTTGAAAATCTGAAAACAAAAAAAAAAAAAAAAAGGGCCCCAAAAAAGGGGGGGGGGGGGTTCTTTCTTTTACAAGTGTAATTCCTTTAAAAAAAAAACAAAAAAAATAATTGGGGAAAAAATCCCTCTAAAAAAAAAAAAAAAAAAAAAAAAAAAAATTAAAAATTTTTTTTTTCCCTTTCTACAATCTTGGGAGAAAAAAAAAATTTTTGAAGGCGGGGTTTTTAAAAAAAAACCCCAACCAAAAAAGCAATTCAAAAAAAGGGGGGGGGGGGGGGGGGACCCCAGTTTTTTACCCCTCCTGGGAAAAAAAATTTTTAACTTTTTGGGGGCTTCTATTTTTCTGTCACCTTCTTTTTTTTTTTCCTCCTATTAAATTACATTGGGGGGGGGGGGGAGGGTACATAATTAATACGAGGATACCAAACAAAAATCATTTTATGGTAATTTTTCTTTGAGGGGGGGAAAACCGCAGGGGGGGGGTTTAAATCCCACCCCCCCCTCCCCGGGTCCCACCCCCTCTTTTTTTTTGGGGGGAATGGGGGGGGGAGGGTGGGCAAAAAAAAAAAAGGTGGGGGGGGGGGCCTCAAATTCCCACCCCATTTGGCGGGGGGCGGGCGGGGTTTCCCCCCAAACCTTGGGGCAGGGGCCCCCTTCTTGGGGGAAACCCTCCCCCCCCCAGAAAAAAAAAAAAACAACCTTTCAAAAACAAAACAAAAGCAAACAAAAATTCTTTCTTTTCCCTTCCCTCAAAACCCCCTTTCCCACAAGCGCCCCCTCCGGGAACAAAGGGGGTTTAGAGGGGCCTGTGCAAAACCCCCCCCAACACGGGGGCATGCAAAAAAAATATTTTTTTCCCCGCAACACCCCTCCCCCCAAACCCCCCTGGGGCCTGTTTTTTTTTTTTTTTTTGAGGAACGGGAGTTTTTTCTCCCGGGCTTCTGGGGGTCCGGGGGTGGCCCCCCCCCCCAGGGGGGGCTGGAAAAAGGCGCAAAGGGTGGTGGGGGGGGGGGGGGGCTAAAATACAACACGTTTTTCCCTTGGGGGGGCCTTTCCCCCCCGAAACTTTTTGGGGGGGGGGGGGGGGGGCAATAAAAGGGCTTTTTTGGCCTCGGGCCTTTTCCCCTGCGGGTTCTCCACCCAAAATTTTTCCCATTTCTCCTGTTTTCTTTCAAGGCCCCTCCCCCCCCCCCAAGGGGGGTAGAAAGCCTTTGGTTGGGACCCTAATTAGGGCCCCACGGGCCGCCCTCCCCAAGGGGGCCCCCTTGGGCTTTTTTAATTTTTTTTTTGGGGGATTTTTTAAGTTTAAAGAGGGGAATTTTGGGGGTTTTTTTGTAAAAGATCTGGGTGGTTTTTTTAGGGGGGGGCCAAAAAGGGATTTTTGGGGTTTTTCTTGGGGGCAAAACATCGTCCCCCAAAAAAAAGACCCTTCGGTGGATTTCCCCCCGGCCCCCCGGCCCTTTCGGGCGGGGGGCCTTTTCCCCCAACAAAAAAACACAAACGCAACCAAAGTGTGTTTGCGGCCGGGCGTTATTGTACAACAACCCCTCGTGAAAGGGGGCCCGCCACTGCAAAAAAACACCCCAGGGTTCCTTAAGGTTTTTTTCTACCAAACAAACCAAAAAACTTTGCTCTTCTGTCTACGGGGGAACAAAGATTTAGGGGCGGGGGGGCTCTCCCTAATTCTTCTGTTCGTTTTTTTTTGCCCCCCCCCAGTCCTAACGGTCTTTGGGGAAACACACCCCCTTTGGGGCCTCACACAAAGGGGGGGCAAATTTTCCCTTCTTTCGCCCCACTTGGGGGCCCCCCCCCTTTTTCCAAAAAAAAAAAAAAGTGAAAGGGGGGGGTGGGATTTCTTTTTATTTTTTAGGGTTGTGGGGGCAAAAGGGCCCCACCCCAAATCTCCCTCTCTTTTTTTTCCCTCCCCCGTTCCGTTTTCCCCGTTTTTTTTGGTTGTGGTTGGTTGAAGGGAAAAGGGAGGGGGGGGAATTTGGGGTTGGGGGGGGCCTTTCACCCCCCCAGAACCTTTATTAAGAATCCCCCTTTTTGTCCCGCCCCACTTTTTTGAGGGGGCCCAAAAAGATTTGGGGGGGGAGGGGGGGGGATTTTGGGGGGGCTTGGGGGAGGGGCCCCCAAGGGGGGAGTTGTCAAAAAAGGGGGAACTAGGGGCGCCCCTGGGGGGGCCAAACCAAATTTAGGGGGGGGAAAAAAAGGGGGGGGGGGGGGCCCTATTCTCTTACAAAAGGGGGGGAAAAAAAAAAATTTTAAAAAAAAAAATGTTGTTTAAAAAAGGGACTGGGGGTGTTCTTTTTGGGGGGCAAGCTTCGGGGGCGCTTCCCCCACGGGGCCCTTTTTTTTTTCGTAAAAAAAATTTTTACCAGCACTTTGGGAGGCCGAGCGCGGGCGGATCACGAGGTTGGGGAGATCAGAGCCATCCTGCCTAACACAGTGAAACCCCATCTCTACTAAAAATACAAAAAAATTAGCCAGGCTGGAGGCGCGTGCCTAAGGTCCCCAGCTACTTGGAGGCTGAGACAGGGAGAATGATGTGAACCAGGAGGCGGAGCTTGCAGTGAGCCAAGATTGCACCACTGCGCTCCAGCCTGGGCGACAGAGCGAGACTCCGTCTCAAAAAAAAAAAAAAGCCAGGTGTGGTGATGCATGCCTGTGGTTGCAGCTACTTGCGAGGCTGAGGGAGAGGATTGCTTGAGTTGGGGAGGTCAAGGCTGCAAGTGACCCATGATTGAGCCACTGCACTCCATCCCAGGTGACCGAGTGATAACCTGTCTCAAGAATACTATATATTTATCTCTATATATACTCAATATATAGAAAAAGAGTGAGAAGTAGAGCAGTATTCAGAGTACTGTCCCCTTTGATGTTTGGTTTTACCTTCATATTTTTCCAGATAGAAGGATATTTTTTTTAAGATATATTTTTAAGGATACTAGAAAGACTTGCTTTTCATCAACCGAACTTTTGTCTCATTTTGGTATTAGGAAACTAGAATTTTCCAGTTAGAAAACACCTTGCAGCATGATACTTATCACAACCTGCCCTTTCCTTAACTTCTCTAATTTCAGTGTGTGTGGGCAGGGGGAGGGAGGGTTAGTCTTGTTTTTGTTTTTTGCCAAGGTCTTGCTCTGTCACCCAGGCTGGAGTACAATGGTGAGATCATGGCTCACTGCAGCCTTACCTCCCAGGCTCACGCGATCCTCCCACCTCAGCCTCCCGAGTAGCTGGGACTGCAGGTGTGTGCCACTACACCTGACTAATTTTTTAAATTCCCCCCCCCCCAGATGTTTCGCTCTGTTGCCCAGGCTGGAATACAGTAGCACAATCTTGGCTCAGTGCAACCTCCGCCTCCCGGGTTCAAGTGATTCTCCTGCCTCGGCCTCCTGAGTAGCTGAGATTATAGGCCACATGCCACCACA